GAATCTGTAAGTCAGGTTGAACTCTGACCTGCAAGTTTATGCAACGATATTATGCTGAAAACAAGAAACACATGCTTGATCTTGTCCCTCATACGGGCTTCAACGGAAGGGAGGCAAATATTTGAACAATGCAGTGCAATGTGACCACACCAACAGAATTTGTCGTGCCCTAACAAGCTCGACAAAACTGGCAGGACAGAAGTGATAGAGATGCCAGGTAAAGGGGAACTCCACTGATCTAAGATGTTTTTCTGTAGACCGAATCTACCGAAGCCACGCTTCGTTTTAGGGATTTACCAGCACTGGACAAAGGTCTGGTATCATTCTGGTATCGGGGGGAAAAACACTCTGACTTGTTTGTATTTCTCTAAACCAATCAATTGCTGAACATTTGCACATGGGGAGGCGAGACGTGGCATTAAAGGGTAATTTTTTGCAAAAGAAAAGGTAACCGCTGCTATGTTCGTACCTTTAAAAGCAGGCTAAGCTTGGGGTACCTTGCTATTTTCAGTGTGTAGGTTGGCTCGGAGCTGGTTGTTGTTGCACGTAGTGATGGGGACGGTGAAGGAGGAGAATGCCGCTTGAAACACACGGCCAATGGCAAGCTTATACCAACAGTCTTCATCCATGAAGTCAGACTACTACGGGATCAGGTTACTTGTCAAATATTTGCTTAAATTGTTAAATTGTTGGATCCACTCAATTTAAACGATTTAAGGCGATCAGTTTCCTCAAACAATTTGAGTTGAGCTAACTCATCCGGTTTTGGGTAATCCACTCTAACCCCAAACCTAGATAATGTACCTGGACCTCAACCAAACAAACCCAGATCCTCCACAATATTTCCTATGAGTGACAGGGACAGGTGTGAACTGATACAGCTGCTTGCACAATGTGAGAGTGCAGGTCAAACACCAGAGGAACTCCATCTGCAAACGGAGGAGGAGATCAGTGCGACTCAGACACAGACACAGAGGATTGTTTACGGCCAGGAGACAAAGATATCCTGACCCGCTGTGACGTGCTGCCAACCTGCAGCTTTCAGGTCGGTGTCACATTAGAGGTGTTAGCAAAGCGGCGCAGGGAAAAAAGCCGCCTGAAGCCAGAAACAAGAGGACACTGTCCCCTGACATATGGCCTCTGGCATTCTCCCGTTGTCTGTGCTAATGTCCTGTTTTAAAAACCCCAATGCAGACAATGAGCCCTCTCTCTTTGTCTGGATCATTCTCTGCTCTCACTGGTACAGCAAACTGCTACGTGTACCACAAAAGGCCCAGATACCTTTTTATTTAATGGGCTAGTTCACCATTCTTCTCTGGATTATGAGACCTGTCTTTGTATTTGTTACTAAGAGAAGAAAACCTTTTAGGAGGAAGGACGCTCAGTTCCGCTGGTCTCCTTCTTGTTGTGTGCAGCAGCACGAACTTCATTAAGCCCGAGGATTGCACTTTGGTCTTACATAAAGGCTCTGTTATATCTTAGAGTCACTGATCAAGTTACAGTGCTATTATATAACAGAGCTTTTACAGCGTGTCACCGTGTCTGTCTGTGTCACTTTGTCTGCTGCAACATCAGACTCACTGTTTGTTTGTTTTTTTGCCGTAACTCCTGATTTACCACCAGATTTATACATTTCCTCGTCCCGCTGGAGGAAGGTGTTGGGCGTCTGTCTGCAGCAAAATCTGTCAAATGGTTGAATTAAAAGATAAATTATTAAAGAGTTAAAGCAGTTCAAGTTCATGGCGAGTGTAAAGCTGTTTTACGTAACACACATAACACACAAGATTACATTACAAGAACATGTTTAACAGAACGTGCTAGATGATAGTGTGTGCCAGCGGTGGGGTGTAACCACGAGTACACTCTTTTCTTTCCACGCCTCTTTCCACTACCACAGGGAAATATTGTAGTACTTCACTAGTTTAACAATATATGGAGAGGTTATAAAATATGATGTTTTTGTTCTAAATTGAAACCCAAATGAAATATTTCCATCAGTTCATGGTTGCAGCTTCTCACATGTGAGGATTTGCTGCTTTTCCTTTGAATCATTTTTAATATTTCTAATGTATTTTTTAATATTTTTAAGGTTTGAGGTGTCACTTTGGGTTCTGGGTAATTGTGACAGCTTTTCTCACTTTTTTCTGAATTTTTACTAAACCAGATAATCAATCGATGATTCAAAAACAAAACAAAAGAAGCAGATTAATCCATAATGATTCATTCATTCATTCATAACAGCAACTTTAACAGGTTGTGAGGAGTCCCTGCAGGTTTTCCTCCTCATTTATAAAACCCCAATGGATCGAAATGTTTAATAATCAACTCTGCAGTTTCAAATGTTAAATAATTCATTAAAAGGGATTTCTGAATAATTGTTAATTATATATGTTTATAACTTGTTTATTGTGGTGCTGGATTGTGGTTTTATGAAATCTGGAAAATAAATTTTAATCTCAGTGAGGCGGCCTGATTAAATAAAGATTAATAAATTATAAACCATCAATTTTCCGGTTATAAATGTTAAATAACAATCTATAAACTCTGCAGCTGTAAGAAAATGTCATGATGGAGGAGAACTTTTAATGTAAAAGTCTTAAAAATAGCTTATATTCATATTATATATCCATAAAAATGACATATTAATCATAATTAAACCCATTAGTTACAGTTTACAAACCCCTTTTATAAAGAGTGCTTTTAAATAAGGATACCAAAACATGAAAAGGCAGTTTCATTTTCCTTTTGTACACATGACATAACATTTAAAGGGCGTGATGAGGTGACAGCACAACAAACAAATCACTTCCTACAACACACAGGAAAGAAAATGATTAATAAAAGAGTTAAGTTCTTCCCAGCATTTCTATATTAATTAATTAATTAATTTATTCATTTATTTAGCCAACATGTTATTTATCCATTACTCATAAACTCCCTAACATCCTCAATCTTTCGTTATCTTGCATATAAAGATTGCGGATGACGCTCAAGCACAGGGCCACGCCCACCCAGCGATCCGATTGGCCAACGTTGCCGGTCGTCTCGCTGCTCATTGGCTCGCACCGCCGTCACTCAACATCTCCCCACTGCTTCGGGCGGTGTGGCTCATATAAAAGTGATATTTAACGTTGAGCTGCGGGAAGCAGCCTGTCACTGACCGGCGGAGCGGCGAGCCTGCGGCGGGTCTTCTTCTCGGTTTGTCCCGGGCTGCCGGCTGGTGCTCATGGATGTTTCTAGCTAAAAGGCGAGGCAGTGAGCCAGTATTTGCTCCAGGATGGTATTAAGAAAAAGACTAAAATGGTGCCTTTGTAGCGGGAGGATGAATGCTGCCGGTGCCTTGTAGCTATAGTGAAAGTTAGCATCCCGTTAGCTAATGCTAGGCCTTCCGTTTCCTTCGGTTTATTGTTTTATTCTTTTGTAAAGCGGGTTTTTGTTTTTTTTTAAGCTGATATTTTTCTTTGCTCCCTGCGAATAAAGCTCTGATATGAAGAGGGTAAACAGCTTTCAGAGGTGGGTGGAAAATACTACAATCTTCACTGTCAAAATAACTTTTAAAAATAACGTTTAATGTTGTTTTTATTTTGTCAGTGTCCGATAATTGGAGCAAGATAACGTTGCCTTATTCTCCATGTTCCGTTAACACAAACACAGGTTGGGTCACATATAAAGGCTTTGTGTTGTTATATGAACAAAGGGATTTCTAATTAATGCAACTGTGGCACAAAAAATGATAAATATAATTTAATAACCGAGGAGCAGTGTTGGACTCATTACTGGTAATAATATTACTTCCCCCAGTAACTAGCAGTGTAATTAATTACTAATAAATGGAGTTAATACGACAGAAAGATGAGTAGTTACAGTATTAACTAACTTAAAATCTAACACTTTAATCACATCCTTTGATTCATATTTTGTAATTGGAAATATTCACATTATTTTGATTTAAAACAAACAAAACTGGATTTTATTCCTCATTAGTCTGAAATTTGGGGACACAATTAGCAGAAATGTAATCTAGTAGTGTAACTAATTACTGTTTGCAAGGAGTAAACAGTAAAGTAATGATGTATTAAGAGTAATGAGTAATATATTAAATCTTTTGAGTGACTGGCCCAACACTGTCTGACTGAAAATGAACTATTTTGATATTAATATTAATAATTAAAATATAAAACAACCTCAGATACACAGGGACGTATTTATCTTTGTATGTTTTTGGTCAGACGCTCATCAAACCACAGAATTAAATGATAATGAAAGTCATTATTTCAGTGTTAACCAGTATAAGTACATGAATCTACTTATTGTCTGTGTGTGTGTGAGTAGTAAACTTAAACATAGTTCTAAATATATTATTAATACTACGTTAGAAAATGTAGTATTTTGTCAAATTAAAGTCCCACTCATACACACACACACACAACAATACACTGCCATTGTGTATAGTGTGTTTAGTTTCTCCTGTCGGTTAATATTATACTTTATTATTTCAGTTGTTTTACTTCTTATCCACCTTATTGAGTGTGCTTATGTTGGGGTTTCGTCACTAATGCGACTTGGTAACATACTTTTGCATATTCCATCCTTTTATTTAAAAACTATTTTAAAACATAAATATATCTAACATATCTTTTATTGTACATTTTTATTTTATATTTATGGATCTTGACTTGCACGGTTTATTTTTTTATTTTCTCTTACTGTGTTCACAGTGACTAGGGCTGCACATCTATTTGAAATATTATGGTATGGCCAAGTGTCTGTAGAATAATGGCAGTATGCTTTCTTTACCTCGCTGTGCAGCCCTGACGCGTGACCGATTCCTACCTGATCATTTTCACCTGTTGTCTCTTGATAAGGACAGAATCAGAACGATGGTTGTGTTGGTGAGAAGCTGTACGTTGCTGGAGCAGCCTTCCATAGTTGCTCACGTGTGTGTGTGTGTGTGTGTGTGTGTGTGTGTGTGTGTGTGTGTGTGTGTGCACGCGCTCCAGGTTCATGAACCGACGGGCCTCTGCTAACTGCCGCTACCAGCCCACCTGCTACGAGCATGCTGCAAACTGCTACACTCATGCGGTGAGCGGCGTGAATTCACTTTTTAACGCGAGCGACAGAATCTGAAAACGTGTTGTTTTAACGGCTCTGTGATTGCCCCCCCCCCAACAGCTCCTCATCGTGCCGGCCGTCGTGGGCATGACGCTGCTGCACCGACTGTCGGACAACGGCTGGGAGAGGATCACCGCCTGGGTGTACGGCATGGGCCTGTGTGCCCTCTTCCTGGTCTCCACTGTGTTCCATATCATCACCTGGAAGAAGAGCCACATGAGGTGAGGAGGAGGAGGAGGAGGAGGAGGAGCGATCGGCTGGCACAGGACCAAGACTGACATGTACCAGCAACAGCTGCCATTAAAAAACCCTCATACACATGACCTACTTGCGTTCGATGGATTCGAAGTGTTAACGTCAGAATTTGTTGCCACGTTTTTTGGGCTTTTTGTGGAGCAGAAACACTGAGAATGTGGATTTGTTTGAGATAAAAACGAGGCTGTTTCCTGCAGTAGCTGAGTGTCTGTTAGAGGAACTGTCATTATCTTACTGATGGCTGGGTTTTTACATTAGTGCTTGAAACATGACCGTAGCCTAAGTAACCCACAGTGTTCTTACCACAAGCAGACATACAGAAATAAAATCAAATATAGTCCAACATTGGCAGATGCTTTATTGAATTTTGATAAGAGAGTAATTAAATGAGATAATGAATCAGCTTTTTGTGTTTTATACTTGGTGAGCAGTAGTAATATCTGATTTCCAGCCGTACAGACACACCTGTGCTTCTCTGACTGTGACCACTCAAACATGCCTGTTTTTTAGAGTTTTAAATACAAAGGACACATTTACCAGAGCTCCCAGTCAAAGGAAACCTTTCATAAACTGGATTAATGACACAAGAAGGTCTGAGTTTAGGCCGCAAACATATTTAAATTCACGAGCTTTGTACTGTGATGTTTTGTTGCTGAATCGTTCCCCAGAAGCATCGACTGGAAGCACCTTCACTAACACCACTCTAGGTGATCTCTGCAGTAGCTTCAGCACATTATGAATTATAGCTAACTCTATATAGATATATATACATAATAAAAATATATATCTATATAGATTTATATAGATATATATAGAGATATATATAGTCATTGCAGAACTTCAGTGGAAACATGATATCACTTCCTGTGAAGCAGATGGTTTTTACCTGTAAGAACATGTAAATAATGTTTCTGGTTTGCACAAGTAATAAATAGAAGAGAACCAACCTGTGTGTGTGTGTGTGTGTGTGTGTGTGTGTGTGTGTGTGTGTGTGTGTGTGTGTGTGTGTTTCAGGTCTATGGAGCAGTGTTTCCACATGTGTGACAGAGTGGTCATCTACTTCTTCATCGCTGCCTCCTACACACCTTGGTGAGTGTCAGACCGAGGAGTGTGTACACTCAGAGCGGCTGGGGGAGATGAGTGGAGGCCTAACATCGATGCATATGCTGACCCCCCCATTGTCTCCCCCTTCAGGTTGAACCTGCGAGAGTTGGGCCCTCTAGCAGCACACATGCGCTGGTTTGTGTGGCTCATGGCTGCCGCTGGAACCATATACGTCTTCAACTACCATGAAAAGTGAGTTCCTTTAACAGCTGTGTGTGTGTGTGTCTCTGTGTGTGTGTGTGTGTGTGTGTGTGTGTGTGTTCTATACTTTAAAATGGGATTGTACAGAAAGTCTGTGACCTTGGAACTGTGCAGCAGCCTCCCTCCCACCCAGTCAGAACCAGAACATCTGGATACAGACGCTGCTGCCATGTTTCACCACTCAGTCGTGATCCAGCTGTCACTCATGATGTGAAACTCTTTTTATAGCTTCAGATAGAAATTCAAACGGCAGAGACCATGTTTGGGGGAAAGTTATTTAGGTTTATTTAGTTTGTCCCATCTGCTAACATGGAGGCAGCAGGCTTTATGACCTGTACTGCAGTCAGCCACCAGGGGGTTGGGATGTTTTTGGCTTCACTTTTGGAGAGCGGTCATGTTGGTGGAGGGTTTCTGTGAGATTCAGTGTAAAGACACAGGAGAGGTGAACTCTGTCCCGACCCAACAGACACATTGTTAGAACGGGTAATCTCACCGTCTGTCCTTTCCTCTTCGGTTCATCAGAGTCCTAAATCAGCAGTTTGTTCCAGTCAGTTACAGGTGGTCCCACTGTGTCTCCCCCTCTCTCCCTCTCTCTCACTCTCTCCCTCTGTGTCCCACTCACTGTCTCCCTGTCCCTGACAGTTGGATGTGAGACAGATCTGCTCTCATTGTGTGCATCAGTAGACGTTCTGAGGCAGGTTTGGCAGGTTTCTCTCAGTGCTTCGGTTCATTGTCGGTGCTCAGTCACCATAATGGGCTCCTCACAGAGTGTCAACGCCCCGAGTGTTGCCCCATGCGTGATGTTGTCACAACCTGCCAGCGTCCGCGTGAACTGCCAACAAAAGCTGTGACAAAAAAGAGACCTTTCCATTCAGCTGTGATATCTGAGCTCTCAGTGTCTTAATGAATGTGTGTGTGTTTGTCTTCTCAGGTATAAACTTGTTGAGCTGGCCTTCTATCTGACCATGGGTTTCTTCCCTGCATCAGTCGTGACGTCAATGGTAATATTATTATTATTATTGTTAATGGATATATTTACAGTCACATTCAGTTTATTCTGCACGTCCACCCAGCGGTGTGTGTGTGTGTCTGTGTGTGTGTGTGTGTGTGTTTAACTTCCTCTTCTGGTTGAGAGCGTTCACATCGACACGAGCATCAGTTTAACACCACGTCTGTTCATAAATACATTGTGATCACATCAGTGAGCTGCAGCAGTGCTTCCCCTTCATCAACTCCATTTATGTTCCAAAGCTGTTCAGACTGGATGTTATCGGACTGTTAATCATAGAAACGGGGATGTTTTCATACAGTTGGTATGGAGTAGCAATAAAGCTTGGATGTTCCCACCATGTATCCATTACTGATCTATTTCAACAGTTTATCATTAGTTTAAGATAATTCCTTTAATTCGTGATCCACTATAAATTATTTCATCCATTATTTTCTGTTAACTCTTTCACCTCCTCTGCTCCTCTTCACACACTCTTAAAGATACTTTCCTCCCTCAGGCTGTGAGATTGTTAAATTCTTCCTCAACAATTTGTTATTTTTTATGACTCTTTAATGTATTTGTAAGTTGAGCTGCAGTCTCTGAGGTCCAAACACTCCTGGTTGGGAATCACTGATCCGCACTGCCTGCTGCCCTCTGGTGGTTTCAGTGAATACAGCAGCTCATATCCCATTAATGCTACAGAGAACTACAATATGTACACTGCACTCATTTATTTCAGTCATATATCAATATATCAGATATCCAAATGCCCCACTCCCTTTTAATACATATTCTAGTTATTTTAGCTGCTTTTGTACGTTGTTTAACACCACTTTATTTCTCCCACTGAACATGGTTTCAGGTAGAGACAGTAGTGAAGCTCAGTGTCAGTGGATGTTGTATTTAAATGTTCCATAATGTTTCTCCTGTATCTCCTCTCGCTTTCTGCAGAGCAACACCGAGGGCCTTCAGGAGCTGGCCTGCGGTGGACTCCTCTACTGCCTCGGCGTGTTCTTCTTCAAGAGCGACGGCGTCATCCCTTTCGCCCACGCCATCTGGCACGTGTTCGTGGCGCTGGCTGCGGCCGTGCACTACTACGCCATCTGGAAATACCTCTACAAGGCCCCCAGCGCCGACACCCTCCTCCAGTCGTGACCGCTGGACGCCGGTTCTCCACGTTCCGCTCCCCCCAACCTGCGCTCCTGAGCGACGGCGTCCGCACACCGACTCCCTCAACTGCCCAGTGAAGCTGCTGCGGCAGCCCAAAAAGTTTACGACAACAATGACCGTGAATTGTTTACTGTTTTCTAACGCGGAGAACAGATTTTTCTGCCCAACAGAAGCTACTTTCAAAGCTGTTTTGTACAACTTCAGTGAGGGAGGGGCTTTTTACAACGAACCCTGGCACAGTCAGTGTTTGAGAAATTTGATAGCAGTCTTTTGTATCGCTCGAAGTGAAGTCACATTCCACATTGGGGTCATTTGTGTGTCAAACCTGGAGATTTAAACATTTCAGCTGGTGGCGTGAACCCCAGGGACACTGAGCGAGGTGCTAGACATCAGCTGTTAGCAGTAGCAGGGCTGGTACCATCCAAACACCACAATGAGCCGTTGTTTGATACTTTACCTTTGAGAAACATGTAAAAAAAAAAATAAACCAAAGAAGAATAAATTTGATTAAAATGCGGAACAGAGTGATTAAAGTACAGCAGAGCGACCAGTATCTGATGCCAACTTTTGTACCAGAATGTATTGAGGTTCATACCCGGTCCCCCCGGTCAGGAGTTCATTTAAACAAAAGTGTTTGAGGTCAGTCGGGGGGGGGGACCGTCTGATCCAGATCCACTCTTTGTTTTCCAGTGCGTGCTTTTGTTTCTGACCAGTATCCAAACGCAGTCCTCAGTTTTCAGAGAACGCAGCTTTTCTGTGAGTATGGAGCGCCACCTGCTGGGGGGGGGGGCAGGCTGCTCCAGGAAGGCGATGAAGAGCATTCCAGGGAGCTTTGCGGGGGGAAGGGGGCGACACTGGTGAGGAGTGGGTTTTTATTATTGAGCCACATGATGAGAGAAAATCAGTGCAGGCGGTGTGATGAGAGAATGTTTCCACTTTATTAATGTGAAGAGTGCAGCAGAGCGTCTGCACCACCTTTGTACTGTAGTCCACTATTTCCACTGATTCTCTCTCTGGGTTTTTGATTTGCACCACTAGGACGTTCGAGGCGGGGTCGATCGCTGGAGAAACCTCATGTTTTTGTCTCATGCTGTTGGTTTTTGTAAATTTGCTCAGTGGCTCATAAAATTCCCTTTCTGTTGCTTTCCTCTTAGTGACGTTCGGAGCTCAACGAGTGCATATTTCTCTGTTTTTTTGTGTCTGTTGAAACGGTTTCCTTAACCACTCTGTTTTGTAATGTTTGTATATTCTGTCCTTTTTGTTCTGTTGATTACATGATCCTGGCCTTTTGCAGGGAAATAAACTGCTTCCTGTCTGTCCCATTGGCTGTTAACGGTGCTGCATATACATGAATATCACCTTTCTAATGTGACAATAAAAGACGATAATGCCCCACCTCTGAGCCTCCAGATGTGAATCCTTTTTAAATTCAGTTTGCATTGACTGGCTATGTGTGTGTCAGAGCTCTCGGTGGACTGATTCACTTCCTGCAAGGACAACAAACAAACAAACAAACAAACAAGAACCTTCCTCTGAAGGTGACAGGATTTAAAACGGAGCACAAAATACGCCGGCTGCAGCAGGCCACTGATAATAAAAGACGGGTTAATTAAAAAATGTTCCATTACAGCGCCAATATCTCCTCTCACTGGGGAATACAAAGAAATTAAATCTACAACGTAGCAGCTGTATAAAAACGTATCATTTAAGAGTTTGGCGAAGCTCCTTCCTCTCCATTTCTGTTGGAATCCAGAATGAACTGTTCGACACCGGTTCCACTACTGCCAGTGTTTCTATACTGACACCAAGGTAATCGTTATTCTTCTACAGAATTCATGTTTTAAGCCAAACTTACATGAATAGTCTTTCATTGGAGTCGTTGCACACATTAAATGGCCCGAAATCATTCACTGCTGAGAGACAGAGGGATTTGGGAGGCTGAGACCTGATCAATGTTTCCATCACCAGCATTTGGTTTTATTTGAAGGTTTCTATTCTTTCTAAAGGCTGCAATGACCTTATAGTCTACTAAAACCTTTTAAATGGTAAATACAAAGTAAGAATTAAATGGTAAATACAAAGTAAGAATCTGAAGCATTCAATGCAAACTTTCAGTACAAACCTTTGTTTAGACCTTTACCTGTGTGACGCCTGAGTTTAGGTCTCAATACTTAACAAATTCTTCTATCTAACCCTTTAAAAAATTATTTAAACACAAAGCAGTCAGACCAGAACTCAACCTGAATGAAAGTCTCTAAGGTTCCTGATTTAAATCAGTAAATATCTGGCATTAAATGCTTGATGAGATTCTTTAATCCGACACTGAGTATCAAAAGACACATTTCAGTCAAAATTATGCTTTATTTAAATACCTATTTTATTTTTTTTACAGATCCTTATTTATAATTCACCAAAATTAGCCAAAACTTAATCAAATGCCCAGAGACCAAACCAAAACCTTCCCTATTATAATTTAGGACGATATTCAGAAGGTCTGATACTGGGCTCTAGTGATGTCTGTCACTTATAAAAACCAATGTGCATCGATGAGCGGAGGAATAAGACACAGCAGGAAAGAATTGGGATTTTATTAGACACTACAAATTACAGAGAGACGGAGAGGCCGAGGGCTGAACAGCACAAATAAATGTTATGCATCCATTCCATGACAAACAAGACCGAATACACCTTTCTGTTGTGTTCTTACACACTCAGTCCGTTGGTGTTGCCATGAATACAATGGTTACAGGTCTGTTGCAATGTCCAAAATAAGAAATGAAGAGTTGCCAGTGTATATAATATAGACTTTTTGATGCACTAAGAAGCCCTTCAGTGCAGATCTGAACCTATCCGATTGGTGCTGTGATGAGAACTTTACATTGCTGAGAGACTGTAGAACAGTCAGTGTATTCAAGGCACTGGAATAGACTCAGAATTATGGTTAACGTTTCCGGGTGAGGTAGTGAAATCACTCGACAGTGAGGTAATTTTGGGATACACATGGATTAATTATTGGCTTTTTCCTATATACAGTAAATGTATGATTTCATAAAAAGATGCTCCTCGGACTCGGGAGGCATCGTTCCAGTCTTCACTCTTCTCTACGAACCCTGTTCACACTCGAGTGCGTCTGTGCAGATAAGATGCAGAAGGGAAACACCTTCTAAAGCGCAAAAATACTAAGACAAACAGTTTGTGGTTAGAAAAGAATCTCGTTGTGTCACACACACACACACCTTTGGATCGGATCAATAATGTTCAACCAAGCCGGGACTGGGATTTGACCGACGTGTCCATTTGCTGTTTTATTGGGTGGATACTGGCTTTTCTGATTGTTTCATTTAGAATTAGTAGGATTTAAAACCTGTTTTTGAACTGAACTGACGCCTTTAAAGTTTTAAAGATTTCGGCACAAAAATATACGGAAGTTTGGGACTGCCACTATTAAAATGAAATCATTTACTTTGTGCACATTTGTCAACAAATGTATGCTAAAAGTTTTTCATCTTTTATTTTCACATATGAAAATACATAATAAAAATTAAATGAGAATCCTCATTAAAACATCATTAATAAAACAGACTTAATAAAAAAAAATCTACAATTGAATGTAAAAACAACATTTAATTCTCAAATAACCTAAAATTAAAGATTAAATAACAAACAGGACTTTTATATTTGAATTGTCCTGATTTTAGCCAATTCCTGATGAAAAGGAGAAATCTGTCAACCATCTAAACCACCAGCTAGAATATGTTGCTCACATCTGTATGCTAAATATGAAGCTACAGCCAGCAGCTGGTTAGCTTAGCTTAGCACAAAGGCTAGAAATAGCTACCATTGCTCCACCCAAACTGACTAGCAGTTCTAAAAGCTCAATAATTATCAGATTATATCACGTCTGTACAAAAAAAAAACACTGAAAAACAGCAACAATTTGTGATTATACAGTGTCTTGCTGTCACCATCAGACTCCAGGAAGTTACTGCACCCATCCAGGAAATAGTGTGGCACATAAAATGAAACAGTTTCTATCACAGTTTGGTTTGAGTATTGAGTTTAAAGGCGCTGGTAGATTGGTTTCCGTACAGATTTTCAGAAACGCGAATATCAGCCCTCAAAAACTTGAATCGGTCGCATCCCAGTCTTGGACTGATTGGTAAAAAGCAGCATGCAGCTCTACACTACAACACAACTAAGGTTTGGGCTCCACTGTAAGCCTTCATTTCAGAATGAAATAAAGCTTCCCAGTGTCCATCACTCAGGTTCAGGGACATACTACAACTGCATTGGCTGAGGGAACCAAACACACACAGAGCAGCAATGTTAAACCAGCTATAGATTTCCCTTCCTTCATAGTAACTTCATCCCGTCGAAAGATCAGAAAGAAAACAAGACTCACAAGCTGCGCGGTTACAAAAAAAGCCTCAAAAAGTCAGAATATTCACCACTTAAAGGAAGAAAAGCCTGGACGACTCAGTAAATGTCGGGGCGTGTCGGGGGAAAGGTCACAGCATTGAACACGGTGAACTAAGTGGGGGTTTCTTGTCGGATTTGAGCTGATGGGGAAAAAAAGGGCCTAACTGTACATTCTCTCTTCTGGACTGCATTTTCAGCATCTGCTTCCTTAGAGTTGAATGGGATTTAAATGAGCCTACAGGTGGCGCCAACATAAGCAGGAGTGCTGTCATAATGATAATAATGCCCAGGAGGTTTGGGTGTTGCTGAATATCCACAAATCTCTGTAAAACTACCACATCCTAGCTAATATAGAATATCAAAATACCACTATATGCATTTGTCTTTGAGTTATATACTTGTATTCTTTAATAATATTCTGGATCTGTTGTGCCTTTAAAATACATAGTTCAGTAATGTATAGGAAAAATACTGTACAAAAAGAACAACTTATAGAATAGGTTTATATAAACATATCTCTTGTAACCAATATATCATCTCTGTTGTGAATCGTTTGGTCTGCAGTAAACAAATTGATTGGGTTAACCACAGTATTGGACAACACCATCCAACTTTTTTTTGTCAACATCTCTTACATTCATACAGCCATCTTTAAAAAGAGGGCAAACATAGAGCTACAATGAGAGACTACAGACATCTATCTGTATTGATTTCTAAAATAAAAACACGCATATTAATCATGCTAAGTTAAACAGAAGCAAAAAAAAGAAAAAGAATTATCAACAACTTTGCAAAAAAAAAAGAGATAAAAGATTTGCAAACAGCTTTTCGTTCTGTGAAAGAAAATCATGCTGAAATCTGAAAACAAGGAGGCTAAACGACAACAATGTCAAGAGTAGTATTAATACTAACAATTATATCAACAGAATACATATATATAAAAAAAAACATCTTCCATCTGAGAAATAAAAGGTAGATAAATATGAGGCGGAGGAAACTTTGAGTGAGTGGAAACATTGCACCGGATCAGATTGTGAGACACGCATTAGTGCAGAGGTTAACTAAGGTTATCTTAGTTAACGGAGGCGAGCTGAAACGAGAGGTGGCGGAGAGAGGGGTGAGATCAGGGTGGGGTGAGGAACAATGTAGGTAGTCAGTTTAGTTCTGGACAGGAATTATTGCTCAGTGTCCGGTTGATGAAGAAAACGCTATTCTTCTTTAAAAACGGCAAATCTTACGCCACGATTGCACAAGGAAAAATGTGCTATCTGAATGTTAAAATACAGAGAATGCTGCTAGGAGAAGCTAGCGCGTGTTGGGGGGGGGTGGTTACTGAAGTACAACATAAACACCAAGAAAAGAGTTTAAAAAAAAAAGGGAGTGAAAAAGAAGATGCTGATGGAAAGAGAAACAAACCTTTTAGCTGATGGAAAGAGAAACAAACCTTTTACAGGGTTTAAAAAAAGCACAAAGATTTTGGGGGGGTATAAGCAGGCTCTCGGACACGTCACATGTTCACAGAAGAAGAAGAAGAAGAAGAAGAAGAAAAAAAAGGAGGAGGAGGGAAACAACAGTTTTCAGTCCTGATCTCACGTATAAAATTGGTATGAAAGTGAACAACAAACAGCATGGCATCGTTTCGCAAAAAGTGGAAGGTAGCGGGGGACTCAGCTGGTGGGTTGGCTCATAACTCCTCACAGTACATTAAAGTGGGAAGTATGCATGTGTAAATACATATATTTATCTATGTATATATATATATATATACGTAAATAAACGTGTATATATATATTTAGTTGAACGATGTGTACAGAAAATAAAAGAAGGAACAGACAAAAATCGAAGCTTATGATAAAAGTCAAAATGACAGTTATAATACCAGAATCATACAGGTGTGTTGGTTGAGGAGGGGGAGGTTTGTGGGAGGAGGAGGAGGTAGGGGGCGGTGGAGGAGGACGGGGCAGTGCCACCAAAAGAGACACATTGTCCTTCAAACTCGAGGGACAGTGGGGTCAGGGTGGTGAAAGTGGGTGTTGGGTTGGTGGTCGGGCTGGCGAGGAGGTTTGGAGTTGGGGGGTGGGGGGCTCACAGGGGCCCGTGTCGGGCCTCATATTTAGCCAGAATGTTCTTGCAGCGGCCAAGCTCCTTCCTCATGTCCGCTACCTCCATGCGGAGAGCGGCGTTCTCCTTCTCCAGGAAGCTGGCCCGGATGGCGATCTGGTTCTCCTTCAGCCGCCGGGCGTCCCGTGACCTCTTGGCTGCCACGTTGTTCTTTCTGCGCCGGGCCCAGTACCGGTCGTCCTGGGGAGCAGAGCAGGAGGGGTTAGCGCTGGATACGATCACAAAATACTCTTACAGTCCTAACAAGTCCCTGATCGACCCTGATTTTCCCATGATGAAGTCCCATGATGAAGGCCTCTGACTAGGAGGGTCAAAAGGTCGGGACATGAAGGTCTGCTGACCCCACGCTGCCAGTTTAACATATTATCAGCAGTTAATACGTTGGGTTGGTTCACACAAGTACATTTAGTAATACTGATCTTGTGGTTTGCCATAGAATGAGTCAGAGTGGAGGTTTGATAATGAAAATACTGTATTAATGTTTGTGTTTAAACCTCCCACAGATATATATATATACACGGTGGGGTGTTCTTTATTCTTTATTCGGATTTACTAAAATTACAGTACATGTCCTTGCTTACAGTATCGCACTATACTCGATCGTATCGTAACTCCTGTTACTTTGTTTCTTGCCAGTAGTACTTACGGGTGTAAAACATAACAACATCTAGACCTAACCGGGTGATCCGATCTTGCTTGGGACAGAGCAGCAGGTCAAGGACTCACCTTCAGGTCCTCGGGGATAAAGACCTTGCGGGCCTTCTTGATCATGGGCTGCGGCTTCAGCTCCTCTGCAGAGAATTTGCGTTTTCTGGGGTCGAACATTTCCTGGCCGGGCACGCTGGACAGGGCCAGGTCTGCCGGGTCAGGCTCGTAGGCCAGGGGCACCTGGATGGACTCTGGGTCGATGGGGCTGGGTGTGTCCCGGGGTGAGGGCAGTGCTGCAGGAGGACAACAACAAAGCAAAATAACACATATTAGCTGCCAGCAAGTACACAGAATCATCCTGTTTTCTGGAAGAGCTGGTAATTATTTGGCAGAGGGGTTTTGGTCAGCGGGGAACCGAACTCTAAGCACCCCTGATTTTGACTCTAATGGCAGAAATGGCACCGATGGCCACTTCACTTTGGGGTAATTGCTTATGCAACGTCATGAGTGGGTCCTGATCAGCAGATCTTTTCTGTGAAGCTCTTACAGCCGGACAGAGGACACATGAGGAGCAGCGGTTGGAAACTGAAGAGAGCCTCTTGCGCGGGCAGGGGGCCTCTGAGGGGGGGGAGCTGAATGCTGCCTTTCTTCCCTTTGAGCTCACATGTTTGTGTATTCGAGGGCTGATCCACTAAGTAATGTCAGGCTTTGACAGACCGGTGCAGATGTAAAGCAAGAGAACAGGTGACTGCTTCTTTAGAGAAAAAAACACTTGTATAGAGAATCATTTGCCCCATCCGACCAGCAGGTGGTGCTGTCACACCAGCTTTAAAACCACAGCCGCTGAGAAGTCATTTCACAAACTGTTTTTATCTTAGGAGCTGCTGATAATCTGTCAGCTGATCTCAAACCACCAGATTTAGTCTTTAAAATTGTCTCGAGGTGATCTGCTCCCGCTTGCCTTCAGGTCAGTCTGCCTCTTGTGCAAGGCTCCTCCAATTGATCGAGGCCAACGAGCCGAGGGTGGTTCAGTTCATTAGCCGGCCCAAATGAAACGACTCTGTGATTCATTACATTAGCTCGAATTTGTTTTGGCCGTTTCAACCACACCTGCACTCCCCGGCTCGATACAAAAAGCTCGACGAGTGACACGACAACCGGGAATGTGAGCGAAAGCAGCAAAGTGCAGCAGGCGTTTTCATTAGCTGCTGGCAGCTCGTACATCATGACCTACATTTCTGTGCTTGTGAGCCTGCCATGACAGCCAGTCAATGCCGCTGACCTTCAGTCAGAGCGTACATGGTCACGCTGCTTTTGGCTGCCGTGGAGATTTGAGAAGCTCCGTCTGCTCTCTGCGTAAAAATCTGAAACAAACAGGATGTCTGTAGATCAGGAGACACCGTCCTACCCAGAGGAAGCGATGGGCCTCTTCATCACTGAGGCATGAAAGCCCCCTCACACTGCTGAAGGTTTCTCTGTTCACAATGAGGAAAACTAAAGTGTTTGTTTGTAAAAAAAAACTCTGCAGGACCATTAAAAAACTGCTAATTATCACCTCATAAAACTGAGCAGAAATGTGGAAAAATACCCCGGGAGGAAGAACGTAACATATTCTCTGACATATGTTTGAGATATTCTCAGGTAGTTTCACTTCACTAAACACAAGTAGGGCCTCAGGAAAGTTGGGAATATTTAGATGCAATACTAAAACAACATTTTACTTTGAAGAAATATCAACATGAGTCCTAAAATAGGACGATCTGATCAAATAATGAGCATAAAGAGTTCAATGATCCGCCAGTTACTTTCTTGATCTAATTGATCAATCGTTTAGTCTATATAATGTCAGAAAATCGTGCATTTCCCAGAGACAATATGTATGTATGTATGTATGTATGTATTTGTTTTGGAAAACATAAAGGTCAAAAACCCACAGATGTTGATCAATTTTCTGTCGATCAGCTAACTGATTTATCCTTTGATCGTTCTGAACTTTGTGTTCTTGACTTGAAGCATCATTATTTGTATTGATCATTAATCTGATGTTCTGTTTTTCTACATTTATTGTAGACCCACAATGATCAATTTATGCCTTAGTTGTCAACTAATGAATTAATCAGCAGCTATTTTGATTATTAATTAATCGTTCTCATTTCTTTTTTCGTATGAAAAACTGTCCAAATCCTTTAAATTCAGATTCTCAAATGTGAATGTTTTATGGTTTCTTTAGTCCTTTATGACAGTAAACTGAATGTCTTTTGGTTGTGGACAAAAGACATTCGAGGACGTCACCTTGGTCATGTATTTTCTGACATTTTATAGACCAAACAGAGAAAATGATGAACAGATTAAGCGATAATGAAAATAATCATTTCAGCCCTAATTTATTGCTCAATTGTTTGGTCGTTAAATTGTGAAAGATCTCCATCACAGGTTTCCAGATCCTAGTGTGACGTCTTTAAATTGCTTGTTTCGTCTGACTGATATAAGTCAGAGAAACCCCGCAGATACAGACAGCTCATCCTACGGTAACGAAAACACGACGATTCTTATTCTCAGGTGATTATCCACTAATGAAAACATACCAATGAATATCCATTTATTTGCCAATAGATCCTCCTGAATGTTACACACTGGACCTTTAATCCACTAATCGTTTGCTTGTGTGTACGGCTGGGCGCTCAACCTTAATACTCACTCTTGAAACATAATGATTTTACTGCCATCGGCTCTTATGATCACATGACTCCTCACATTCTCGCTGTAAAGATAATCCATCCATAACCTAAGACACACATTGGCCAACGTTGCCTCCCACCATTCATAAACTGAGCCCAGCACACACAGAAAGCTACTTACTAACTAAAATTAGACGCCGTCTTAGACAATCTGTCACCTTCAAATAGCCAGCCTCGCCCTAATCACCTTGGATCTCCCAATTAGCGGAGTTAAAAACACAGTGGCATGGTCATGGGCTATAAGTAGACGTACAAGCCCGTTCATTGATCTGTACTGTGCTCAACTAACGTACAGCACATTCCAGGGGAGAGGAAGCAGGCCAACGTGGATTCACAAAAAGGTTCCCCCCCCCCCCTCCTCCACCTCCTGTACAGGAAATCTAAAATTAACAAGCCAGGAAAGGTTTGGAGCTGACCTACAAAGAGCTGTGTGAACGCTGGGATAACCAGGGCTCTCTGATGGAATACCTGTGGAACTTGTTTTTGTGTGACGTGAGAGTTTTTTGATGTATTTGCACACAATGCCGGGCTGCGGGGTTGGTGTCACGCTAGGTGATCATATCGGGAGGCGCTGTGACTGTTATCATGTAGCTGTGCGGCTGACAATGCTGCAGTGATAAGCTGAACTCTGACCTGGGTGCAACACGGGACCAATAACAGCCACTTCTCCCACACAAAGACTGCACTCTCTGGGCTAAAGGGCAAACCGATTCTTCTTCTAACTGGCTTTAAAATAGTTTCAGGATTTAGGATAACAAGGCTGCCACAACTGCTTTTTCCTTTCTTCAGAAGGTCGAACTGATCACATGACTGCAGGAATGATATTCCTTATTTTTCTTATTGTCAACAAATCTCATTAAAAGACCAAAACCAAAATGAATTGATCCAAACAAGTGTAGTTTATTTTGACTCAATCCCACACACACCGTCCCGCTCCCATAAATACCCAATAGAGAACTAAATGCATATTAATCCGCAGCTGAAAATAGTCCCCAAGCAATGCTCCATTAGCTCCCGTTTGTGTCACGTTTGTTAAAGACCACAGTGAGCAGCTGTTTTAGGAACTCCAAACAAAAAATGAAACTGTCCTTTCAAGAAATTCATTGACAATAAGAAAAACAAACCAGCACTTTTCTTTTTTTCCTCATCTGCAGGACATCACCTGCAGAAGTTATTTTTGCTTCTGTGACACACAAGTCAAGAGGGCTCGGTCAGTCCTGCAGGACATGCTGATCCTGTCCACAGGCCACATGACAAGACAGCTGAGAGGAACGCTCCTCGGTCTGCTGGAAACTGGGCCAGAGGAAATTGGCTACTGCGACAATGAGGAAGAAACTTAAAAAGGGTGAAATATTGAGAGTGTGAGTCTGATAAGTATGGACTGATTGCTGCCTGACACACTGCATTATTCCTACAGTACGTGTTGATAAGTACATGAACTCGTAGAGACATTTCGCTCCCCAAATGTGCTGATTTACGCCTCCCACAGAGCCCTCGTTCCTTGACTAACACACTGGAATGCGCCACAATGCACCCTTTGACCCCTCCTACATCTGACTTCCCCTTTGGACCCTGCCAACAGTACACAGGGGTCCATCTCCTGAACCACCCCTGACACAGTCCCTCAAGGTCTGCGGGCCTGAAGATCCTGAAGAAACGCCCAGTCATTTTGTTCTTTGCTTGCGATAACAACTTTATCGGCCGCCTGCTGTATTGCTTGCAAGCAGGCAGAACACAGAGGGATTGTGGTTGTTGTTGTGGGTGGTGGTGGTGGTGGTGGTGGTGGAGTGGCTGGTTAGACGAGACTCTGCAAGCTGGAACGCACACGTGACAAAAGCACACTAGAGTCCATGTGATCTCTGCAGGGTACAGCCTGTGCCTTGGCTCCGAGTCCAGGCTGTGTCGGAGCCGAGCCCGGCCGGGGAGGGAGAGGAAGACTGGACGGGAAGTGGAGAGTGCTTAAGGGAGAGAGCGGGAGGGGAGGGTGACAGTGAGAGTGGGAGAGTGAGGGAGGGATGAGAGGGAGGCAGCTTCATGCCGTGACAAGCTCCTGTTTGCAGCTCAGCGCAGCACACAGCGCCTGCATGTGTGTGTCACATGGCGCGGCACGCTGCAGGAAACCCCAGCCGCGTTCACGTGAGAGGTAAATGTGAAGACGCACACAGAGACAGACCCACACACATACACCCACACACACACACAAACACACACACACACACACAGTCTGCCTTTGTACGTACACACGTGCACAGACGCTGGAATAAAGTGTACTGTACAGATGAACCTCCTCTGGAGCATCTGGTTATCTCCGGCTGCACTGTCCTCAGATTAGAGCTAAACCTGTCTTAGTTCAGTCTGCAGATCCAGAGATGGAACAGTTAACAATGATAAATGTGGGAAAACATCAGGTCACATGCACTCACAGGAGGGATTTTTTTTTACAGAATACAACAAAGCTGCGCTTCCTTCTTATAAACTAGTTCTAGGTGATCTGACCTCAAATCTATATCCTGATAAACTCCAGTGCTCAAACATTCAGTCTGTCAGTCAGTCAAGATCAAGTGTTATGATGGAATATATTCGTTTCAGTCATTTAATCTAACATACGCAGCTTCCACGTTCTCAAACGGGAGGATTTGCTGCTTTGGTTTTTTTTATATTATTGTAAAAACTTTCTATCTTTGGGTTTTGGACTAAGAGCTATTTTAAGACATCACCTGCTGCTCTGAGGAGATGTGATGGACATTTTTCATCATTCTTTTTGACATTTTATAGACTAAAGAACTGGTAATTTTAAAATAATAGAACTCGCACAGTTCCTTATTGTAGGATAGAAAAAGGAAGCTAAAACTAGATTACCTCTGCTTCCAGGAACGAGTATACTGTAAATATGATACGTGCAATTAACCTGATGTGACAGTCTGGGAATTTCAGAAGATAGATTCATTCATTTCTATACTGATAACACTTTTTGTTATGTTGGCTCACTTGTACGTTGTTTGTCATGATATTCTGTTTATATTCTGTGTTTTCCATCATTTATTTTCTATTCTACTACTTATTCATATTTAAAAGGTTTAATTATTCTGGTGTTCTGACCTGAACCGTTGGCTGATTGGTCGGTTGAACTTTCAGTTAAATGTCAGGAGAATCATTTTTAGTGTAATTGAATGGAGTCACTAATGTGATGAATGTTTCTGTCTCGCTCTGTTATCAACAAAGAGGTTGAATGATGTATTTACCACATTACAGTGGAGGCTTTACAATACCTCATCAAGGTTTCTTCCTTCCTAATCTTCAAGACACAACACACTGAGGGGAAGTGTTTGTATGGCGGCGGTACACCAGCTGTGGAAGTCTACAAACACCACGCCAACATTTGACACCGATAGCCCCAACGTAACGGTTGTAATGGGACTGCAGTTTGAGGCTCCTTCAGGGGGACGTTCGGGGATTTCAACCAACCAAAACAACTAAACATTATATTATATTTCATGTAACCGAGCTGGTCCTTGAAAAGCAGGCAGGATGGCGATCAACTAACGTTCATCCTCCATTATCATCCACTCCATGCTCTGTGCAGTTGTGTATTGATCCAGCTGGTGATCAGAGGACGAATCTGCGTTTAACTCAACCCATTTCCTTAAGAGACCCCTCTTCTATCAGCCTGACGACCCCTGACTCACACATTTTAATATTATATACCTGATAAACTGTACAATGAACCCAAACAGTGAGGGTTTGGATGACTTTAAGTAAAACATTTCAAGCAAAGAATTTTATTTAGTTGTCTTCAAGAAAATGCTGATTTATAGGCCTACAGCATATATATTTTTAAAGTTTCCTTACATCCTTTAAAATCAAGAAGGTCTCGTGACCCCCAGTGAAGGTCTGATAACCCCTAGTAGGGGTCCCGGCCCCCAGGTTGAGAACCACTGATCCAAGGTTGTGTGATATAAATATGTGACTTATTAGTCCATTAACACACCCTAGTGCCTCACTGACAACAATACACCAGGACCCCACCTCTTCAGCCTTTACAGGTAAAACACACACACACACACACACACACACACACACACACACACACACACACACACACACACAGTCTCCGGCGGCGTGGTCGAGCGTTGCCCACTAAGAACGTGCTGTGTTTATGTGTTTACAGTGAGGCTCGGTCCTTTAAATGATTGAAATCGCTCTGGTGTCTGGAGAATTGACAGCCCAAATAGTGTCTGGCAGCAGCTTAACAAATTCAGTTACGCAGTTTAACGCTTCAGTCTAAATACTAACTGCCTGCTTAATGTCAACTCATTACAATAATAAGATTTCCCAGTACCGAAAGCTCCCTTTGATTGCCACAACACTGAAACACTGGAACGAAGTAGAGTATGTCTGTGATAAAATATTGTGCACTGCCTTTCTGGTTATTTTGAAATCTTTTGATGACTCACTGTGGCTCCTATTGTAGATCTGCAGAGTGAAAAGGAAATTTCATTTAAAAACATCGTAAGAAAAGCCTCAAAATTACTCAAAAATGATACTACAGGACAGAAGCTGAATGAAGTTCAGCAGGATGTAGTAATTTATGAATCCCATTTCTGACTAACGCGGGCAGCTTTTAGTTAGTAAAACAAAGCCTGCACGGAATTCTTTGGAATTGATACTGAAACCAACTCTTATAGAGGGAAACTAAAACCTTTACAACCACAGCATAAAGTGTAAACACGACTGTTGGCAGACAATGTCAGTGCACAGAGCCTTTTCTGACAATCACAGCTTCATGAGCGTGCTGTGCTGCATCCCTGGCCTGTTTAAGCTTTACTCTGGGACTCCAAAGTCCAGTTCAGGGCCGTAAATCCGAGCTTAAGTCTGTCACTGTGTACCTAACCTGCTGTTGTCAAAAGCACAAAGTTAAACCAGCAGCAGCTAAATAAGAACCAGGTAAAAATGAGCGCTCAGAGACGATGCCTCCGGAGATTCGGGACACAAAGCTCAGTAAGTGGTTTACTCTTAGCATCTCTGGCTGACAGTGACTTTAATGTTGAGTGTAGCAGGTGAGCAAACAGCAGCGGCGCCTCCTAGAGCCTCCCCAGACATCGGGGAGGTGTGAACAACGCAGCGCCAACACGTGTGATTTGCAGGTGCACGTCAGGCTCCGCCGTGTGCGAGTCCTACCTGCTGTGCTGGGGCTGCAGAGGCAGTTCTGAGGCGCCAGGCCCGTGTGAACCGAGGTGGTGGCGCGGCTGCTGAGGTCCACCACTGAGGGCGTGGTCGGGGTAGGCGGGGTGGGTGGCGGGGCCTGCTGTGCCGGCTGCGTCGCCTGCGGGGCCTGGTTGCTCTGGGCTGTGTTGGCGGGGATGCCGTTCTCCGACAGGAACTCCTCCAGGTCCATGTACTCCAGCTGAAAGTTGTCCGCATCGTAGGGCAGGGTCTTGTCCCAGAGGGTCGGGCCCAGGAAGGCCGACTGTGGGTGGTTGGCCGCGCTGCTCTCATCGTCCAGCTTCTTCGCTTTCTCCTTGTCTTTCCCGAATCCTGCGAATGTTTGCACACAGTCATTTCATTGTCTTACAGCAGGGGAGGATCACGGGTCATTGCATGGGTAATAATAGAAAGTACGGCTGGGGGCTTCATCTTAAAGGGTCAGTTCAATCAATTCATTCAAAATGAAAACATTTCTCTAGGGAATATTTCCATATAGAAAGCTTCCTTCTTCAGTGTTTAATGCACGTTCGATTCAATTATCCTCATCTTATTGAGAAAATACGTCTTTTCATTTTACATGAACTGACCCTTTAAGATTAAAAATAAACCAAAACAAGTCTCCATTCATGTTCAGATACTGTAATGGCACTCAGTACATTTAAGCAATACAAACAGGAGGGTGTACAGCATTAACAACAGCTTCTCAGAGCAGAAAGGACGCCCTCTATCGACAGCTCGAGGTACCACTAATATAAATCCCATTGAAGACGAGGGTTTAAAGGTGATAGACGCAGCACCGAGCTTAAAACAGTCTCAATAACAACACATTAAGTATTCACGTATTTCACATAATAGAAGTATATATATATATATATATTAAAAATCAAATAATAAAATACCTAGTAAGCTTGTCAGTCAACTAAAAACCATCGTGCTGTTTTTATTTATCTGTGCAACCTGCAGCACGTAAAGGTGACACTGTTTGTTCCTCGACAAAGATCGTGTAATATTAAGAAACATCACTCTTTAGTTTAAACCTGTGTGTCCCTTCACTGCGGTTTCAGCTGTCAAACAACCCCCCCCCAAATGGATGACTGCAAGAACGGACACCGGAGAGAGGAGGTGCACCATCAGTGCACCGTGCACAAGTTTTAAAATAAATACAAATAAATAAAACGTACCTTCATCGTGATGGAAAGGCAGCTTCAGCGGGTTTTCCAGCAGCGATTTCAGGACGCCGTGAGTCGGCGGCAGGAAAGTTGGGTTTATAGCAAGAGGTCTGGCCATTTTCTCCATATCTCTTTAAAGGGAAACTAAAAGAATAACGCTTGCAAAAAATACTTTTATTATTTTTTTTTTTCCAAAAAGAAAAGCCCCCCAGGGAAAGAGACCGAACTCTTGGCTTGGCTTTGCCCCGTGAGAGGAACCTCGCAAGCGGGGGAGAAAAACCAACAACGCCGGGGGCTCGGAGGGGAGAAGACGAGGACTCCGCAGCGGCAGCAGGACGGTGAGCGGCTGGCTGTCTGTCTGTCTGTCTGTCTGTCGTCGAGGCTGGTTGGCAAATAGCTGGAGGAGGAGGAGGAGGAGGAGGGGGGGGGGAGCTCTGACGGAGCTGCTACTCTCCTCCATCCATGTGCGGAGACGGACGCCGGTGACGTCAAAGCCCTGGGAGGGCGGGGACGTTTTTCTCGCGGTGCGTTCACGTAGCGTCGGGAAAGAACAAAGCAAAACAACTTCATGAAAAAAAAAAAAAATTTTTGAGCGGCCAGTTCGGAATATGGTGCCTTCAAGGACTGTGGGGATTGTTGTTTTTCAGTGTGATCAAATAAAGTATAGATGAGGCAAAGTGTTTTCTCTCTTTATGTAATAATCTTCTTCTTTTTTTAATGTTTGGTTTAGACATTGATGATATTAACAATTAATACTGAATAATAACCCATAATTAATAACATAGTAATATATAAAGGACAAAAAGACATACATATAAATTAATGAATAAATCATTTTCATTGACAAAATGTATTTATTTTCGTTTATTTATGTCTTTATTTATTTTTATTAATTTATTTAATTTATTATTATTATTATTATTATTATTATTATTATTATTATTATTATTTTACCCTTCATAATAATATGAAGTTTATTCTTCCCAAAGTAAATATTTGTGACATTTTATGTGTTCAGTCAAATAAATATGTATAAATTGATGCATATATGCCATTTATTTATGTATACTTCTATACAAAATAGAATACATAAATAGTAAAATGAAATAAGAATAGAAAAAAATAATAATATGCACGTTCAACAACATGAGGTGCAAATTACAAATGACTGAGTGTAATACATCAATTAAAGTGCAGGGTATGTATTCTATTGTAAGTATACAGAAATAGTTTATATGCATAATTATATACGTGGCATCTTTGGACAAACATTTACTTTGTGAAGAATAAACCGTGCATACTGCATTTGCAAAAACACGATACAAAAAGGAATAAATATATGCAAAAAATCTGCTTAAATGAAACAACTTGTTAGTGTTTAAGGCTATTTATAGTTAACTGATACTAAAACTGAAGCATGACAGGATAAAATTACAAAGAAATAACAACACTTACATCAGTGGTCCTGAGAATTTACTTGAGACATTTGCTTTAAATCATTTATTCAAAAGTCTCAAAAGTTTTTTTTATAAAATTAAACAGATTCATATGTATATGGGTTTTGTGGTTTTATGACATGTTTCAAACATCAAAACTGACAAAGTTTGCGCTTACTTCTCACATCAATCTTATATACTGCCTGTCATAAAGTCCTGCTGCAGTCTATTAACAAAGTCTTTCATGTTACGATTGCTCCCGTGTGATTTTCTTGCGATCGCAGCCCTGCAAGGTATTTAGAGAACGCAAAATCTGTGACGGACAGGCCTGAAACGTGTCGGTTATGCTGCATCCAACAGCAGTTTTATGGCGTTCAGTTATATTTTCAACTAGACCAAAAATATTTTCTAAAATTATGACTGTGGGAAATTCTCTCTGAAAACACTCTTAAATCAGTTGTCATCAGACTGCATGGACACTGTGAATGGTAACTTTCTCAGCTTGTGTCTAGATACTACGGTTTGTTTGTGACTTAAATGTATTTATCATTACGTTTTAAAGCTTTTCTCAGATATGCGTGTATTGTATTGGAATATATATACAAACAACCTGCTCGGAACAATAATTATTTCCACAAAAAAAAAGTATAATTTCCACATTAAAATCCTTTAAAAAGGCATCTAGTCCTTCTTCCTCATTAAAAATACATTAAAATTAAAGTTTTCCCATCAAGTCCATTCTCAGTGTATGTGTGCCCCCCTTAAACTCAGATTTTCAGTGAGCTCAGAGAAACTTTACACTTTCAGCAGATGAATGTGATTCTGCACAGTGAAGCTCAGGAACATGAAGAAACACATATTTTTGAATGGATCGGGACCTTGACATTAACTCAAAATGACAGGACAAAACAAGATGCATAACACATAAAACAATAGATACATTCAGTAATATTTTTTAAATGTTTGTGACAAATTTGCTTTCAGCTGAGACTGATTTGGATGCCAAACATCCTCTCAAAGTCAGACCAGTGGGTCCCGTTCTTTATGAATAAGGCAGCTTCATGTTGTGCCAGTGACACAGATTAGTTCCCTGACTAGTACATTTTGTTCTCTCAGATGAGGTTTGTTCATAATTGAGCATAAACTCTCACAAAAACCACAAAGATATCACACATTTCAACCCGAGTGGTTGTGTACTTTACACAGCATTTAGGTCTGCATTACCATCTTGATAAATAAAGCTTCTCAGCGCTGCTGTGTTCAACTGTAAGTCTGAACACCGAGGACACAATCAACTGTAGTGCAACAGTGAAGAATGACGTGAATCTAAACTTGACCTACTTTCAGCCCATGGGTGTTGTCAGACTGCAATTCTATCTTTGCAGGTCGCAGTACATGGAAACTCACGCTTTCTAGTGTAGTGGCTGAGTCACTGTTTAAAACCCTCGCTCTACTCTGCCCATTTGTTTGATTTTAATGATTAGTCTGTATCATCAGCACCACTTCCCTTCTGCACAAAGAAAAACACAAAATGGAGATGACAAGAATGACAAGCTGAGGAATAACTAGTTGTTTGAAGAGATATATGACAAAGGTCTTATGAAAGGAGCTGATTGTGCGTGTGGGACAAATCCATTTATGTAAAACGGTCCTCATGCTTATGAAAATGTCTCGCCTCATCAAACCAAAGATCTTATTTTTCGTGCAATCAAAGCAAGACTTTCTTATGCATCATAAAAGTTCGAAGCCCCCCGAATCCCTTTGTGTGCTGAAATTAAACCAGGTCAGACCCTGTTGCTGTATTTACTGTATGTCTTTTAAATCTTGTGTCTTCATGAGACTCTGCAGGGCTCCATGTGGATGTACTAATCAGCCATCTTAACTCTGGCATGAAATAACAAAAAATTCAGGTTGACAATCATCAACATGTTCTAGTAACAAATATACAAAACTAAACAAAACATTATTTGTTAGTTGAAAGTGTGCAGACGTACATAAAACGTTACAACTGTGTATTTATGCGCAAAATTCTAAATAAATGACGCACCAAATACCAGAAGAAAACCGAAATGTAAAAGCTACAAGCATAATTTTTCCAAGCCAACAAAAGGGCTTTCTTCCTCAGAGAGTAAACTGACTCACTTAAATGTTTTATTATCTTATGCAACTTAATATTACATAATTACAAGTAAAAAAGTCAATAGGAAACTCCAATCTATCCATATTATTTCAAAGGCATGTTGGACAAAGACGGTTTTCTTCTTCCAGACTGACATAATTGGCCAGTTTCACCGATAAAGTACTAGCTCTCAACCGGGTACATTACGAGCATTGATTCTTAGAAAAATTATACACAAGACAATATAATTCTCTGTCCAAAATCATGCTCCAAGTTAAAGAGTCACAGTTTGAACATTGCTCTGGGGGACGTAAACAGGAAGTGTAATGTTGCCATGCAGTGAGTTACGCTGTGTAGCCTCGTTTATTTCTCTGATATTTTAATTCATATGATTTTCTTTTACATTTTGGCAAATCTGCACCAATAGAGTCTGCACAAATAGCTACACTGCAAAAATAGCCCTGCTAGAAACAAACCAAATATTCTTAAATATAATCACATTTTCTTGTATTGAGCAAAAAAAAAAAAAAAACAATTAAGTAAGACAATTTTGTTTGGCGGGAATTCTTTAAATCTAGCCAATGAAACACTGTAATGAGCCTTAATGGGAAAAATGCCAAGTAGTGCTTATTACAACGAATGAAAACTCAGTTACTTAGTATTTTGGTCACTTTATTGAGCTGAATCTAAGAATGTGTACCTTAATCTAAGATTAATAATGAATAGTATGACAAAGTCACTTATTTTTATTATTATGCTGTTTGAAGAAATTGTCTTAAATGAAGACACCAGAAACACTTATTTTTAGCATTTTTTATTAAAATAATAAAAAACTACACAGCCACTTCATTTCCAACACTGGGACTTCAACTGAGAAGTTATTCAAGTGGTCTTACTCTTAAAATAATGAAATAATCCTTTGCTGGGATATTATGCAAACCATTGTTGTAACTTGAGCTCAATAGTTTCATTCTGAGAAAAAAAATTCAAAAGGGGGAAATTCTCAGGCAAGTTCTAGAGTTACAACAAGTGCCCTTTTGTGCGTGTTTCTGAGCAGATTTATGGACATTTGTTTGTCAGAGATGATGATATCGGCAGAAAGGGTGAGTCACACTGATGTGTACCATGTCTGTGATCACAATAATCAGTGCAACCGTTGATATAGCTGTCATGAAACACTGCAGATGCTTTGAACAAACGTTTCTCTGTCTGCACGTTCGATCCTTAAATTCAAAATACATGGCAAAAATGTGAAACTGACGTAAATAATATAATGACATGTCAGGGAGAAAGTGAGCAGTCGTACATTTTCAACAATTATCAGAACAGGTATCTGCAACAACAGCAGCTAAAATGCTTTTCGGACGAGTGATTGTGAGCTGCGGTGAGGCCAAAGGTTAAAGGTCGGGGCCCAGGTATCAATTGATCACATGGGCCCAATCAGCTGCATGTAAATAGCTGAAATTCAGAGCATTCTTCAGTCTCTCTGTGCAGCTACTTGTTTCACGCAGTCTAAAGAATAATATGTGTTTTTTTTTTAACTGTGAGAAAACTCTGTAGCAGGAAATTTGTGACGTATAAGCCGAACAAAACGTGTGTTGTATGAAGGCGGTCAGCTGAACGGAGTGGCATGCCCCCAAATCACTGCAGCAGAGTTCGTCAAGGACACATGAAAAGATGAATTCAAAAGGACTTCAGCCCTATGAAAATGTGATTTCAAACTGTGACAGCAGACCACAAAGACTTGTGTGTGGAGGCAGAGGGGATTACACAGTTTAACAGTGGCTTGCTGCTCACTGTCAGGCTTAGACATTAAGATTTCTTCAA